TTTTCTAATTCCTCATTTCTATCATTCTCAATCCACGGTATTCTCAACATTCGTCTGTAATACCACATTTAGAACACCTCTTACGTTTTCTTTTCCGCCGAGCCCAGCATCGATGTTTACTTCTTTATGTTGAAGGCGACTTGAGCCTGTACTATCCTATGTTTTATATCTCTGCTGCTCCTTCCAATCTGAGTTATTTGTCTTCCTATAGATACTGAAAATCAGCCACCAGCCAAAAAGTTATGGGGGTCGAAAGTTGATTATTTTGACAATTTTCATACACTACAATTCAAATAAAATTCATTAAAAAATATATTTTCAAGCGGGTGGAGGTGAGGGATCGAAAGAGGGTGGTTACTTGAACAAAACCCGATAACCTAACCTAACCTAACCTAACCTAACCTACCCTATTGATAAAGCTATTTAAATAATGTTTTATATAACTGTCTCAATATTTTTATGTTAGTTTTACCTTTGAATATTGTTTAAGAATGACTGTATAAATATTCACATGCCTAGAAATGTATAAAAAATAGCATATTTATTAACTTTGAACCTCCACAACTTTTTATGGGGGTGAGACCGCCACGAACTTTTTATTGTACAGTGATGGGAGGAGGTCTCCTCTTTCGATATCCCTCCACTCCTAACCCCTTCGGGGGAGGGGGCCATCATCTAGACCTTTACCCTGGATCCATTTTATATAAAACGATTTATTACTCCTCCTTGTTAGATGCTAATATTGCTATATAATCTGCAGATTTAAGTATACTAACCGTCCTCTGTATATCTATCCCTAAAGTTGTCTTGTGTTTAATAATATTTATGGCGTCCTCGATGTATAGATTAAAAAATAGCGGTGACAGTATGCATCCTTGTCTGACATGTCTCAGGTAGGCATTTTACTAGTTTTCTAAAAGTAATTTAACTTTAAACTGTTTTGATCCCTACATAGTGCCATCAATCATTCTAATTGCCTGCGGTTTATTTGTGCGAACGAAATAAAAACAAATTGTTGTTTCAACCGAACTACAGTAATTACGGTCTGTTTTACAGAATAATAAATAAATTATTATAGCATTTAAATGCTGCGAAACTGAATGAATTGCCATGGAATTGAACGTGTTTTTGCATTATCATCACTAATTGTATAAATGCGTATCGCGCATTTGCAATGAAATTTTACTCCACTTATTTATATAACTGACGATATAACGGAATATAACTGATATGCGCGTGTGTGTGTGTGTGTAATTGTATCAACAGAACTATTTTTAGATGACCAGAAAGTTCTATTAATAAAAGTTGCAAAAACTCAACATCAATTCATGTTTTCGTTAGCATGGCAGTGCTGAAAATAAATGGCGCCATCGCTTTTTCATAGGATCGATAATTCTCAAACTTTTGCTTTAAGTTAGGTTAAGAAGAAATCGAGATACGTAATTCATGCTTGGTGCTTAAACCCCAGCAGGCTACTGAAATGAGTTCTTAGACTATCACGCCTTTCACCAATAGTTTTCATCATCGATGAATGATCTCTAATTAGTATTCCGAAATCATTAATTATTCGTAGTAGAGGTACGAGGGTGTGCTTTCAAATCCGCGGAATGATGGGGTTGGAAGGGAGTGAGTTTTCCCATTAGCACATCAATGTGTTGAGCGACTTACCGTTAGTATAAATATCGACATTGATCCGGGAGAACGTCGGTTCGATTCCGGGTCCATCTGCGTTGGTCCAAGTTTTTCTGTGGTCTCCTTGGATCAATTAAGCAAATTCTGAGGCAGTAATATTCCACAGATAATATTTCACTCTCTTCTGTCTTCATTTCGTCTATCTCACCTGTTTCTACTTCCGACAATCCCAAAACCGAGGGCCTTTCGTTCTATCTTCTTGTCGTGTACTAGTAACTGGTGTGTGGGTTACAGGGACTGCCTGTCATCAGCGTTAGTAGCTGGTGGTAGTGAAACACGCTAAAGTTTTTTACAAGGCACAAAAATCTTAACTAAACACTAGCGGCTAGTGTGTTTTTCTGGATTTGGAAAACATGGTTCCAGCCAGTTACAGTGACTTTACTCAGCTTCAAAGCGTGAAGCATGTAGTCACCTTTTCTAACAAGATACAGATTTCAAAAACACATTTAGGTTTTGAATAGACCCGCAAAGATGTTTGTAACGTAGTAACGAGGAAGCATTAACTGGTCTAACTAAAACAGCAGTGGACTTTGATCAATTAGAAAACATTTGATGTAAATTACATCCCTTATGAATAGACGAAGTTATAATTGATGCTCAACGCTAGGCGAATTACGATTGAAAATACTGTTAGCAAGAAACGAAATTTATTGAAATTACCACGAAACGTGAATTGTGATGTAGATCTTACATGATCTCACCAGCGATAAATTAATAATAAGATCGAAATCGCGATTCGCATCTGACGATTTTTATAAATTTCTAACCAGGAACTTAATAAATAGGAAGGTCTTTTCTAATTAAATAAAATAGTACTTTAGTAGCAGCAAATACCCATTAGATGGCGATACACTGTCAGTACTTGGACAAAAAGCAATCCTAACCTAACATTATTATTTGTTAGTAAACCTGGCGATTAACAATGATACTACATGAAGCGTGACCATTGTTAATAATCGTCATTATAGACTCCAACTCATAATCATCGCTGGTAGTGGGATGGGTAACTAAACACATGGTGTCAAAACCAATGTTTGGGAGGTTCATAAGTAGGTACATTTTATTAATATGAAAAGCAATTCCTATTACAAATGTNGGCGTAGTCCGGAGGGACTGCCCGCCCACCAGCATTACTGGCTGGTGGGAATGAAACACCCAAAAGTTTTTAGTTTTTACAATAGGCGCATTAGTTTTTGAGCTATCGACGACCAAGTAATTTAATCGGGAAGACAACGTTTACTACGGAGAAAATTGAGCAGCGCGGTTATGCTTCTTACCAAGCTTTAGAAAGAACGTCTAAACTATTTTCAAAGAGATGCCCGCGCCGTTTGTAGCTATGGTTTATAAATGGTGCCGCTCATTAAATCAAGGACGTGAATCTCTAGAAGACGATCCATGGTCTGGACGCCCTATGAAAGTGACCACACACGGAATCATCGCCAAAAGTAGAAAAATTAATATTAATATATTAAACTGGGCCCCAGGTACTTCGGAGGCCATTGCCGACTGCATATTCGTGTTCAGTGACCCGCAAAACTCTGAATAACAAAATTGGACTTACTTCTTTCATTACTGAGCGATTTTATTTATAACAACTTAGCAATGCACTTATATTTTTTAATTTTAATTTTTCGGATAACCGTGTCTTGATCCGACTAAATGCAGAAAAATTGTAGGTTTAGCTTATTTTTGTGTTTGTTTTCCTCGATCAATACTAAGACTGGTCACGGCAAATTTTGAAGATGAAGACCACTTTTGTTAGTTATTACTTTTTCAGCATCAGTTTTCGTTGAACGTTTGGACATTTCTATTAGAATAACCCAGTATATGACCATAATGTATGAAACTAAATTTTTTGTTCAAAAGTTGTTACTACTGAAGCAATTAAAAAAATTAATCAGAAGGCTACGATAGTTAATGACGTCTCTTAATAATTGTGAGTTGAATTTGTTAAAGACGTTGGTGTTTTTTTGTTGTGTTGCGGTTATTAATTGACAAAGTGAACGTTTTAATGAACGAAAGTTTCGTTTTCGCATCTCTGCTCGTTCTAAGTTTGAAGTTGCCGTCAGGTACTTAATTATTCAAGTATTTAAAGTGCTTTAGAATTTTATTCAAATTACCTTCTTAAATGATTAAACGGCTAAACGTAGAGGCGTTCTTTCCAAAATTTCCTTCTTTTATTTTCTTCAGATCTTATTCTTTCTGACTAAGCTGAACTTTATGGAAAGCAACGCGTTCGGTTTATCGATAGCGAATAAATTTGATGGTGATCTAAACCGACATGAAAGCCGATATTTTTTTCCGAAGCACCAGTGTGCCTGCATTCGTGCGGGTTATTCAGGTTTTACCGGAACTTGACGTTTTCGTTGCAAAATTTAAATCTGGAGGTAATTCAATAGCAGTTATAAGGGACATGCATTTTAAAAGAGTTAATCAATTTTAAATTCCCTAAAACTCATGAATAACTAAACCATAGACATTTCGATCAATATGATTCTATTACACATATTAGAAAACGTATCTAAAAAGCATTGAATAAGAATTACTCTTAGGACTGATGACCTTATTATTATGATGACCTTTGTTCTTCTATTTTTTCTAATTCCTCACTTCTATCATTCTCAATCCACGGTATTCTCAACATTCGTCTGTAATACCACATTTAGAACACCTCTTACGTTTTCTTTTCCGCCGAGCCCAGCATCGATGTTTACTTCTTTATGTTGAAGGCGACTTGAGCCTGTACTATCCTATGTTTTATANTCCGACAGAACACAGACCAACTTTTATCTGCTGTCTTAACAGCACGTTTTAATACAGACCACTTCGAATTATTTTACTCGATTATGGTAACGTGCCTATCACGTTGAGGTTGGCTACGCCGGGATTCGTTTTCAGCAAGTAGGTATCCACACAGGTGGACCTTGTTGGAGTGTACGTAATCCTAAAATGTAGCATCGTGCTACAGATGGCGTTTACTGCGCTATTTGTAGGAATCGAATGCAGAAAACCGCATCTTATATTCGAAAGTTTGACCTATTTTTGTGTATTACTTCCCCGACTATAACTTAAAGCTTGTCTGACACATTTAATGGTCGAATTTTATAGGTAATTATTGTACTTGTGGTTAATTACCGTAGCACTTTTCTAATCGTTTACATTTTACTAAACATTTTCTAAGTACCTTTCGCATTCGCTTAAAGTGAGAAAAAAAAAATGAGAGCGTTTAGGAAAGAGAACACGAACGGCTTTTCATTCCATTTAACGTCGCCATTTCAAATGGTTTAATTAAATCAATTACGTTTCAGGGGCAACTAAAGAGGTGAAAGCATTGGTAGGAAGCAGCGCATTTCTGCCATGTAAAGTTGACACATCTCAGTGCGGAGAGCTACACAGTGTCAAATGGTACAGAGGTGGCTCGAGAATTTATGTGTACAGTAAAGCTGGATTTAGCCGAGGCGAAGGAGATACTATGAAACGGTGAGTTGTTTGACATTGATACATGCTTACAGAAGAAACGGCGAACTTTATATCGTCACCATTACTTAGTGCACTAAACGGATTCGAATACATTCCAAACATCGGTGAAGTAGACGTTAAAAGATTTTCACCTTTCGGATATTTTGAAGTACTTATATAGGACGAACGTAGTATTTACGAATTTGGTTAAATTAAGACAAGAAATGAATATGAAGATTTTATTATATTAAGGAGGCAAACCTTATTTGTTTGTTTCTTGTCTAGAATAACTTGCTTATTTTAATTGAGACAACAATAGTAACAATAATAGTAATTAGTTTTATTGTTATGTGAAAAAATGATATAATACTTCTCACGACCATTCGAGTTGATAGCTAAGCAATTCGTACAAGAGATATTTGTGGTCGGAATGCGCATTAAAATTTTCGGGATACGCCGATAACACAGTTCTGGTGGTTATGTAAGATATTTTTATCATTACCCAAGATCTCTTAATACTTATTAAGGATAATTTACAGACATAGAGAATGGACTGAGCAGTCGTCAGTCGTCAGTTGTCAGTCGTCAGTCCTAAGACTGGTTGGGCACGCGCCTCCACTCTTTCCTATCCTGAGCTAATCTTCGCATTTCCCTAAAACTATTTCTGAACAGTCATCTAATCTATGTCTACCTCTACTCCTCTTAACTCCTGTTTCTCAGAGACATACTACTCTGACTAGTCTTTCATGCCTGAGAAGGTGTCCTACCAACCTATCTCGCCTATTTCGTATTGTTCTACAGAAAAAGGAGAAAAGATGTTTAGTCCCGTGAGCACGCCTGGACACATCAGTAAGAGTGACGACGTGATCTCTGCCTGGAGACATGTGGAGTGTGTGACGCGAACTGGCACGAGACAGGCGGGTTGCCACAACTTCCATCTGTTCTCCTATTCTTTCTAATACCTTTTCATTTTTAAACTTCTTTTTTCCGCTGCGCCCACCGTCTATGTTTCGCACCCATATAGCGACGCGCTCCAAACACACACATCTTACAATCTTTTTCGGATTTCTTTTCTTTCCCTACTTTTTCTTGCCTTGCATACTAGTTTCTGTTTTACTTTTAATTTCATACACTACTGTTTTACCGCTTCCATTTTATTTAAGGTTATCTCTGGCTCCCCTTGCTAGATGATGATATTGCTATATCATCTGCAAATCTAACCATACCAATCTTTTGCCTCTCTATATCTATCCCTGCAGTTGTCTTGTCTTTAATGGTGCTGTGCGCTTCTTCGATGTATAAATTAAAAAGTAACGGTACAGTGTGCATTCTGGTCTGACTCTTCCTAATACATATTTACTTCTCTACGTTGCTGTTCAAGCTCTGTAACTGCATGTTGCTCTTTATACATGATTCTTGATGATAAATTTTTTGTTTTACTGAGGAGTTTGAAATTTAATTAACTTTTTCTTGTGACTCTATTTGACTGACACCATTTAAACGACCTGTCTACAAAATAAATTCTAAAAATGTCGTAATGTAGATGTAGTTTAATTCTTATGAACTACGATTATCCGTTTCGCAATGTNCTTCATGCCTGAGAAGGTGTCCTACCAACCTATCTCGCCTATTTCTTATTGACATCCATAGAGTTCTCTGTTCTCCTATTCTTTCTAGTAACTCTTCATTTCTAACCTTCTCCATCCACGGTATCCTCATCATTCGCCTGTAACACCACATTTCGAATACCTCTAACCATTTCTTTTTCGCCACACGCACCGTCTATGTTTCGCACCCGTATCAAGCCAGTGTTCATTATTACATAAAAATAATAAAACTAGGGACTAAAAAGCAAATGTCAAAATATGAGAAATGCATAAAACAATGTATCTAAAGCCAGTTTAAATATATTTATTAGGATAGAATTGTTATTGAATTAAAAAAAATTGCCAACTAAATCGAAAAGAAATGGAGAAATAGGATGATAAATAGTTAGGAACAGGAGTAAAGAGGGGCAGAGGTAGATCTAGATTATGTTACTGTTTGTTAATTGTTATGCTTGTGGGATATTACACCTATTGGGAAATGCAAAGATTAACTTAGGATATTCAGGGTACAGAAAAGGACGTAGGGTACCTTTTATCTGAAAAAAAAAAACGCTATTCCAATGGAATAGTAAAATTAGTTTTATGTGGTCGTGGTTGATCTTTGACATATATTTAGGACATTAAGGCGAGCGAAGCCGAGGGTAAAATCTATTTGAAAATAAGAGCAGATTCAATCGCGATCTTGATTTTATTTGATCTCATCAATACGCCATTGACAGACTTAAACATTATTGAAAGATTGTGTGTGGACCAATTGCACCTGAACCTGAATCACGAATTTAAGACCAGAACGGTGAATTACAACTGATGATGAATCTGTAGATTTGCTTTAGCATGTAAGGATTTTAAAAAATCTCCGTATTAAGGATGAATACGTTCATAAGGTAAAATGGTACCAATTTAGCTCTTTATATCTTAAAACAACAACCAGCAACTTAAAAAATGGTAGTAAATCATAAAAAAATGCATTCAGTTTGTTAGTAAGATTTTTTCAGTATTACGTGGACTATAGTATTGCGTGTTTTACGAAAGAACCTCATCTTTAAAATAACTTTTTTTAAGTTTAGAATGGGTGCGAAGTAAACTTAATTCATAAGGCCCACTTCTTTCAGTCTTGATTTCGTTCTTTTTGAATCCGTTAGTTAAAATAAAGCGACGCAACCATAATCGAGTAAAATAATTCGAAGTGGTCTGTATTCTGTCGAAACTGCCAGACGCGGATCGCGATTTCGATCTTTTTGGATNTAGAATGTTCTAGAAGGAAAAGTAGTGAGAGAGAGGGTGAAGACACTAGTTTCTAGGAATACACAGAATTAGATAGTACAGAATTCAAGAGAAAGCAATTAAGGGTAAAACCAGATATTAGTATGGGAGTGCATGCAGGTATGGTTGAAGTTGGATTTCCAGGTAAAAGTGATTGAAAGAACAATAGAGTTTAGACTGAAAGGAAATATTACTTGAAATGAAATATTAATTGAAATGAAATAAAATTAGAAAAAATATTTACACACAGAAAAAACAAAAAGAGTTATTTCGCCACAATTTATTGTACGAGTTCAAGGATTAAAATGTTGCGGGAGGACAAAACCAGACATCTCATCTAAATATGATTTTAACATATCGCAATTACGGTCGTGTTTTTTAAAGCGAGGTTAATATAGTTGGCGCATCTAGTCCTTAAACGGATTTTAAACCATCAAAAAGCGGATAAGGATCAGGAACTATTGTAGTACAATTGTCATTTTAAAACGGTACAAATGTAAAGCGTCTCACCGGTTTTACGTAAAATAGTCATGGGACAACCACAAAATTAGAGGCAATTGACCCCCGGCCGGGGGCTCTAATCTTGCGATCATCACTTGTAAGAAGTCATTTGCATATTATTACAACATTAATAGTCACACTTATGAATAATGCCCATGAATAAATGTCTGTTCAGTCCGTGAAGACACGAAATGCACTGTCAAATATCATGTTTAACAACGTAACTTACGTTAATCCCTAACACGGTTGCAACTCCGTTAAAGTCATTTTGATTCACTATTTTAACCGTCCAGCAAAACAACTAGAGTAAAACAACAAAAAGAGGCTTCGTATTTATTCCCACCTAAAAACGGGAATGAAATTTCCTTTTAGTGTAAACCTGAAGTAAGGAGGTGCTAGAATTTGGATACAAGTAACTGGGGCGAGCCCAATTGTGGAGCAATGGTTTGGTGACGGTGCATTTTGGTATTACCCGGTGGGTGAGCTTTCTAGTTGAGCAAAACGCTCGTTTTGTTTCGATACACATCTCATCTTCTGCCCTGCTGTTGTTGTTGTGGATGCTGTTGCAACGCGAACCCGAAAAAAGTGGTCGTACGCCCACGCCTGCCCATTAACATAAACGAAACGCATGTAGTCGTCTCCCCACTCCGTTTAATCGTAAATCTGCGGACTTATGAGTCGAAATTAGTCGCCCACGTGGCCACACGAAAAACACATTTCCTGACCTCTCATAAAAGTTGACGACAGCGCCTCTTTCATCCGACTTTTCACTACGTTGCACGTTCTCTAATTTTCATTCTTTATGGGTACTTAATGGCATGAAAGAAATTCTTCCGAACCCTACTTGCGCTTATGACCGTCATAATACCATATAAGATGCGACATCGCTGTATGCTTCATACAGTCCAGCCTTCATAAACGTCTTCTATTATTCTTATTTCATCTAGTTCTCTTGCCTTTTAACATTTTTCAATCGATTCGTTTGCATTTATATTCAATATTCCCACCGTTCCTCTTCATCCAGTGTCCACGTCAATTTTTATAGTCAGTTCTGTAAAACTGACTCTGGACCGTTTCTGTCTTCAAATAGTTGTAAATCTACAACACTTAGTGATTAAAGATTCAAGGGTTTATCTACTCCACACTTAGCCCCACGTAGAAATTCGATAAAGGATTCATCTACCCTCACTTACCTACACTTAGAAATGCGATTGTTAAAGATGTACATATGTCTGGAATACGATTGTGAAATGATGCAACGCGGGGGAAAAGAAAACGTTAGAAGCATTCGAAATGTAGTTTTACAGGCAAATGACGACGATATCGTGATGAAGAAGGTTAGAAATGAGGAGTTATTAGAAAGAGTAGAAGAGCGTAAAGTGTCATGGAACTCAATAAGAAATAGCCGAGACAGGTTGGTAGGATACCTCCTCAGCTATGAAGGGATAGTTAGATTATATATAAGGGATATTAGAAACAGAAACAACAACTAAGAGGAGCAGGGGTAGACTTAGATTAGATTACTGTTCACAAATAGTTAGGGGTGCTACGAAAGTATGAAGGATTGTGTCCAACCAGTTTTAGGACTGATGATGACTTTTGTATGTTATGAATAGTCCCTAATGCGGTTCTTCATCATCATCATCAAAA